CCAATAGATTCTCATAGCTCAGGAAAAGTTTCTAATAGTTTCTTCCTGCTGCAGGTACAAGCCAAGTGAAAAATACAAAAGCTTAGAAAAGCAGTTGGTCAGAGCGATCTGGCACCTGCTAACCTTTTTCTCAAACCCACATCGTGGTAACTGGGCCAAACTTTGAGCCAACTACCTCTTGGTTATAGTTGCTGGGAGCAGCTGGGGCTGCAACATGGAGGAGCTATGGTCAGTCCTGAAGTGCCTCATCACACGAGAAAAATAAAATTGTAAAAATTTCCAATTGGTAAAGAGCTTGCTTGAGTCTTTTTGGTTGAGTGATTATTATCACATTTTGAAATCTGGATTCTACTTAATGAATTTAAAAGCCTGATTAAGAGTTTAAAAGTTCAGTATGTCGATGACTATACCACTTGAATGTATTCAGTCTCCCCTGTCAGTAGATAAAACAGAAATCATTATCTTTTGAAACTATTCAAATTTAAGATAAAAAAAATTTTTAGGTAGCCAGAAGAAACATCTAGGGCTGGGCGTGGTGTCGCAGGCCTTTAATCCCAGCACTCTGGAAGCAGAGGCAGGCAGATCTCTGTGAGTTCGAGGCCAGCCTGGTTTACATAGTGAGTTCCAGGACAGGTGGGGTTACAGGAAAGACCCTGTCTCAAAATGACAAAAAAAAAAAAAAAAAGAACATCTAATTCCTGAAAAGTGCTTTGTGTATGAGCCTCCATAAGCCCCAAACCGTAAAGCAGTTCTTGCTTTGCAAACAAGCCCATCCAGGACCCCAAGCATAAATTTCTGCAAATAGGCCCTAAATACAAACCTTAAATATTCTCTTGAAAACCTTTCTGAGACCCTTATTTATCTGAAAGAAGACAGGCCTTGAATTCTCTACCTAACCTGCATGACTGTTTACATACCCAAAAGCACTTAAGCTCCTCTGCTGTTTGGCCCTCCTGACTACTGCAGACTCCCGCTGGTCAGTAGTCACCCTTCATTGACTAATAAAGGGTCATTGTGGATTGTATGAGGTTGGTCACTTTTTCTCTCCTACTTTTGACTCTTTCAACTCTTAATCCTAACATTTACCTAGGAAAGCGTTCCTATCCAGGAGAGAGTTAATAAAACTCCTAATTCATAACTGTGTGTTGGAGAATTAAAAAGATCACTTTCTGGATTAAGATAAAAAGCCTGAGGCTCTGAGCCATGAGGATTGGGCCAAGGAAGATGGCCAAAACAGATAGTCAAACAGCCCCTAGAAGACAGGAGTAGACAGAGGGGCCACCAGCCCTCCCCTCCCCTGAAAGCTTTCCTGATACTTGGGATCTTGGCTCCTAGGACTGGCCCCACCAGCCTCAGGGTGGAGTGGCATGGGCAAGGGGAGGGACAGCCCAGGGACAGTCCTGATGGCTGGCATACTACTGGATAGTGAATTTCTCCAACTTCCTTAGAGAGTGTCAAGCCTTAGGCTGATCCAGATGGCAAGTCACCACCCAGCTGTTGGGCTACCCAAGCTTGGGGTTGAGACTCCAGAAGCTGCTGCCTCAAAGTGACTCAGCAGAACTTCACAGAACCTTTGGACTTACTGGGAGTCCGCCGGACAGCCAGGAAAGGTTAGTCCCTCAAGCCTGCTTACCTATCAGATGGGCAGCTATAGCTGTGCCCTTGTTACAGAAAACAAAAACAAAAACAAACAAAAAAAAAAACACTCTTGGAACAGCTAAGAGATCAAAGCATTCACCCAGGAGAAAGTCTGAAAGCTTGTTTCTTCATTCTCCTGTGTGAGGTCCCAAAATTAGCAACAAAGGCTTCAAGATTTTCTGGGTCCAGAACAGAATTGAAAATGGGAATTATATAGACCTTTTAATTTTTTACTTATTACTATTATTGTTATTATTGATCTTTTTGAGACAGGGTCTCCCTGTAGTCCCAGCTTGCTTGGAACTCACTATGTAGACCAGGCTGGCCTTGAACTCACAGAGATCCACCTGCCTCTGCCTTCCAAGTGCTGGCATTAAAGGCGTGCACCACCATGCCTAGCTTATATAGACCTTTTTAATGTCATCATTTTATGGCTGGCACCTGGACCCTATGTCTCTTTTCAGGATGGGCCATGTTGTCTCAGGAAAAATTCCTGAGTTTAACTGGTCATCATAGCCTACAAAGTAGATATTTGAGGGTCAGGACATCTGCCACCTTTGGATCCATAGCTAGGCTAATTGGGCTAGGAATTGATCAGTCATTGCAGCTTACAAAAACAGATTATCACTGGTAAAAGTTTAGGTATCTGTCACATTTGATCTACACTTTGCTTGGACTAATTGAACCCAGAGCCTCATTAAACCATTTGGAACTTTTTATTCAATACTTGGCTGGAACTTTTTATTTTCTTAGTTTCACATCTTTATCAGCAGTTAGACATAGTAAGTGGAAAGTATCACAGAGCTTCAAAATATTATAGAGTAATAAAACATCTCAGGGTAATGAAAACATCACAGAACAATAAAACATCACTGGGTAATAAAACCCCACAGGATTGCATTTCAAGATCTCTACCTAGAAAGTAAAACAAAAAGAAACTAAAAAATAGTCTAAGCTTAAAGGATTATATAAGAATACAATTGTTGGGTGGGCATGGTGGTACACACCTTTAATCCCAGCACTCAGGAGGCAGAGGCAGGTAGATCTCTGTAAGTTCAAAGCCAGCCTGGTCTACATAGTAAGTTTCAGGTCAGCTGGGGCTACAGGGAGACCCTGTCTCAAAAAGAAAAGAAAAAAAAAGAAAAAACAATACAATTGTTACATGAATATAATGTCTCCTTATCACCGGGAGATCAGGGTTTCCGGACTCCACCCTTAATACCTAACAGAAGAGATAGTGTGCATTCTTCTAACAGGTAAACTTCTCGGGAAAGTCTTTAGAAGCAGAAGATGAAGCTGTGAACACTGTAGACTATAGACCTTCAACTAGCCACTGGGAAATGACCCTAAAATCTGGATCTTCACAGAAAGGGGATAGGACCAGGAGTTTCCACAGATCTACTGTGATCTTGTTGGGGATCACATACCCAGAAATAGAACAATCTGTGTAGCACAAAAGATTCCCCATTAGCCACCCACTGCTTTGTGGCAGTCCCTCCTGTTGCAAGTCTGACTACTTTGCTTCTTACTTCTCTCTGCTTTTGATCCTTTTCTCTCTCCACTGGAGCTTTCAGTAGGAGTTGACAAGACAGCCATACATGTTGACTCAGAAGTCCTGGAGTCCAGTGGACATTCTGTCATGAATTAACTCTGTGACCATTGTCAAATTCCACCCCCACACGAAAAGGAGCATGTCACCTGCTTTTGCCTCGTGTTGTAAGGCACAAGTAAGCACATCAGGCACTGTGACTTGTCCCCTTGACTCAGGTGCTCTCCTCTATCATACCCACAGCTTTGAAAGCCATCTCTGTCCCTTCATCTTCACTCTCCTCCAATGGTTGTACTGCCTTCCTCTCTACCAGCCACTGTGTCCATCTCAGAGCTAAACACAAGATGGCCACTCCTTCCCCTAAACATGATTTATCTCCCCAGAAGGGAGATCAATGACCCTTCCACACTCCTGCTCAGAACCAAAGAAGCACCCAGAGCTTGGTGAGCATGGGGACTATAGACAGGGCTGGCAGAGCTCTAGGCAGAGAGAAAATGGTCATTACAGCTTTTATTAGAGGAGGGGGGAGGCAGGTGAGTACCCTCAAGAACCCAGTTTGTATAATATTACATTCCTAAAATGAAGAAAGAGCACATCCACATCATGGACAATAGTATGAGCCTACCAACACATTCCCTCCTGATCATGTGCAATCTCTCAGTGAGCTGGGCCTACAGTGGCAGGTTATAAGGTGAAGCCAAGGGGGTAGGGGTTGGGGGTGAGATGTGATAATTAATCCTGCTTGTCAACTTTGAAGGTTATGGAATCACTGTGGAAACAAATCTCTGGACATGTCTGTGAGGAATTACCTAGAATAGGGTACTTGAGGTACCAATCCACTGTACATGTGAATGCTACCATTCATTCCATGGACTGGAATAAAAAGGAGAAAGCAAGGCAGTTGGGAGGATGGCTCAGTGGGTAAAACACTTGCTGTATAAACTTGAGAACCTGAGCTCAGATCTCCAGCCCCTATATAAAATCCAGGTAGAGTGGCACATATCTCTAACACCAGCAGAAAGATCCTTAGAATTCATTGCCCAGTCAACCTAGCCAAATTACTGAGCTCCAGATTCAATCAGAGACTCCATCTCAAAAAAAAAAAAAGATGAAGGGTAATTGAGGAGGACACCTGACATCAGTCTTTCACCTACACACATGGATGTATAGGCATGCACACCTAAACACATACAACACACATACATATACACATATACACACATACAAAAGGGGGAGGAGAAAGTGAGCTGAGCACATGCATTCATTGCTCGCTTCTTCCTGACTGCATACAATATGACTAACTGCCTCAAGCCCCTGCCATCAGGACTTTCTGCCATGATGGACTCTACCTTGATCTGTGAGCCAAAACAAACCCTTCCTTCTGTATTGATTTTGTCAGGTATTTTGTCAGAACAACAAGACAAGTAACTAACATGGGAAGAGAGAGGAGAAGGAAGGAAAAAAGGGAGGGAGGAGGAAATGAAGAAATGGTGGAAGAGAGAGAGTGAGAGTATGAAAGTGATAACCTTCCTCCCAGCTCCGTGACACCCCCACCCCACATCTGACCTCTGGACTAAGAGTGGCTGGGTAGACCTTGTGGATAGGCTTTCTAGCATGACTTAAGTGACTATATCTGATAAGGCCCCTTGGAGGTGTTTTTACTGGAGTGGCAATTAGTTGGACACCATCTGAGTTTTCTTCCATCATAAAAAACAAAGCAGACTCCAAACAAGCACCTTTTCTCTCCAACAGAAAAGAGGGCTGACATTTACTCTCTCTTCAAACTCACTTTTTTGTGTGTCCCTCTCTGCAGTATGCTCCACCCCTAGGAAACAGCAGCAGTTTGGATCTAGAGGCCTCAGGACACATGGCAGAGCTGGAGCCTGACTGACTGCAGAGAAAAAACACTGGGAGCCTGGAGGCCCAGCCATGGCTCTACTGCCAGACAAGGACAAGGATCCATATGCTGCAATCTCTGAAGGGTGTCTTCATGTGAATCCCAGAGAGACTGACCCTGACCCAGTCTCTGGTCTTCCCTGAGGGGCTCCTCATGTGCATCCCAGAGAGACTGACCCTGACCCAGGCTCTGGTCTTCCCTGAGGCCTAGCTCACCACCTTCCAGTTACTGCACTGTGTGGATATGGAGGTTCCAACCCTCCTAACAGCCCTGCCACCTAAAATCAATTGCTGATCCCAACCCAGGCATCCAGTGGTCCAAATCTCCCCTCTGAGTCCTCCACCAACAACCCTGGTTTGTAATCCCGGAGCTGTTCCAGTCCTGTCTCATGGAGATAGCTATGACAGCATTTATGGTCAATGTGAGTCAGGTCAGCACCAAGGTTCAACTGTTTGTCCCCATCTGCACAGAGGATATCTTTCAGTTCAGGTCTTCCATGGGCAGTGAAGAGTCACTATTCTTCCACAAAAGGGATCACAGAACTGGAGATGTAGCTCAGTGGTAGAGTGCGTGCCTCACATGCACAAGGTCCTGGGTTCATCCTCAATACTGGAAAAGAAAGGGAAGAGAAGGGTGCTTCCTAAAGTTGCCCAGTTTGAAATTCAATTAAGAAGGAGCTTCTGATTGTCCTACAATTGTTGAAACAGATCTCTGAGACACAAGAAAGCAGAGACAGAATCAATAAAATTGGATCTTTCTGAGAGTTCTTGCTAAGAAGGGCTTTAGACCTCAGAAAATCCCTTAAATATGAACCATCTTCAAATAATGTTAAATCAGAAAATACAGAGTTTAAACCATCTCAGGGTTCTGTTGTATATAGTTAGGAAGGGGAGATCACTAAAGTTCTCAAGTGCTCAACAGGAACTGAAAAGACTGAGATTTTAAATTTACAGATGCAGTCAGGGCTGTGGTGGCACACACCTTTAATCCCAGCACTCAGGAAGCAGTGGCAGGCAAATCTCTATGAGTTCAAGGCCAGCCTGGTCTACACAGTAAGTTCCAGGCCAGCTGGGGTTACAGGGAGACTCTGTCTCAAAAAGACCAAAAAATAAAAAATAAATAAAAAAATAAACTTACACATACAGCCAGCAAAACATAGCAAGGATGAAATTATTTCTCAGTTGGTCATGAAGCATTATTACTAGACACTTCAAGGAAAGTATACCTTGAAAAAGAAGTGGGAATCAAGTGGCAGAAACATGGATAAATTCATGAAATTTCTGACTGATGGTTCCTTGAGGCCTCTTGTGTTAGTCCATGTCTACATGTAGGAAGAGAAAACACTCTTTTCTAAGAATATGTCCTTAAGAGAAGCCATTATGCATTTCAGAAAGCAGCTATCAAGGGCTGAAGAGATGGCTCAATGGTTAAGGGTACTTTGCTGCTCTTTTGGAGGATCTGAGTTCCCATTCCTAGCACCCATGTTAGGGGGCTCACAGCTGCCTGTAACTGCAGCTCCAAGAGGATCTAATGCCTTCTTTGGACATCCTTAGGCACCTGCATGCACATGTACATACCCACACACAGACACATAAACAATAAAATAGATCTTAAAAAAAAAAGAAAAACTAAAAACAGCTGGGCATGGTGGCACATGCCTTTAATCCCAGCACTTGGGAGGCAGAGGCAGGTGGATCTTTGTGAGTTCTAGGCCAGCCTGGTCTACATAGTGAGTTCCAGGGCAGCTGGGGCTACAGGGAGACCCTGTCTCAAAAAGACAAAAAAAACAAAGCAAAACAAAAAACAGCTATCAGAGCTGGCAAGACGAATCACTGGTAAAGGTGCTTGCTGCCAAGCCTGATGACCTAAGTTAGATCCCTGGCAGCCACAGGGCAGAAGGAGAGAACTGAACATCTACAAGTTGTTCTCTGATCTTTACCTGTACTCTGGCATTCACTTGCCTTTGCCTGTATACACACACACACACACACACACACACACAAATAAAATCATGGGAAAAAAGTTTCTTCTACACCAGAGGCTTCCACAGCTCATGCCTCAGAATGACATCTTTAAACATATATGCATGCATGCTTCTATGCAGTACTTATCCACTATGGATATGACATGTAATTTCGGGTTTGGGATTTCTATCCATTGTTCCATCCTACTAACAGGTAAGGCTAAGGAGGGTGAGAAATGTGTCAATTTTGTTCAGCAAAGTATTCCAAATACCTAAAAAGTGGCTCATATCTATGTCCAATAGCTATGTTGGATAAATGAAGAAAAACATACACTAGAGACAAGACAGCCTCTAACACATGGTGCGGGAAAACAGGATTTTCACATGTAGAAGAATGGAACTAGATCCATACCTCTCACTTTGAGCAAAAATCAATTCAAAATGGATTGAAGACATTAATATAAGACTTGAAACTTTTTGGGGGGTCTTTTTGAGACAGGGTCTCCCTGTAGCCTTAGCTGACCTGGAACATACTATGTAGACCAGGCTGGTCTCGATCTTACACAGATCTGCCTGCCTATGCCTCCCTAGTGCTGGGATTAAAGGGGTGTGCCAACACGCTCAGTGACTTGAAACTTTTTTTTTTTTTTGTCTTTTTTGAGACAGCGTCTCCTTGTAGCCCCAGCTGTCCTGGAACTCACTATGTAGACCAGGCTGGCCTCAAACTCACAAAGATCCGCCTGCCTCTGCCTCCCAAGTGCTGGGATTAAAGATGTGTGCCACCACGCCCGGCTTGAAACTTTTTTATGTGTATGTGTCTGTGTCTGTGTGAGTGTATGTGTGGGAGGGCCCAAGGAGGCTGGAAGAAACCTTCATATCCCCTCAAGCTGGAGTTACAGGCATTTGGGAGCCTCCCCATGTGGGTGCTGGGAACCAAACTGGTGTACCTGGAAGAGCAGGGAGCACACTTAACAGTTGAGCCATCTTTCCAGGCCCAAGACCTGAAACTTTAAGACTACTATAGGGGGAAAACTTCAAGAAATTAGCACAGGCAAAGACTTTCCAAAAAGGACTATATTAGCACAGGAAATAATCTTAAGAGTTGACAAATGGGGTCAGCGAGATGGCTCAGTGGGTAAAAGTCCTTGCTGCGCTGAAAAAATAAAAAAGGTGAGATATACTGTCAAGCATCGGTAATTTCAGCACTCCTAGGTGAGGTGGGAGATGGAGACAGGAAGGTCACTCAGATGCTTGTGGGCCAGCTACACCTGGAGTATACAGCAGCATACCAGCAGAAACAACAAGACTCTGTCTCAACAAGGTGGAAGGAGAGAACCGACTCCTGAATGTTGTCCTCTGAAGGCCACATGCTGGAAGGAGTGTATACCCCTGACACACACAGACACACACACACACACACACACGCAATAATAATAGTCAATTTTAATAAAAAATAGACAAATGAGATTATAGGACATGAAAGGGCTTCCCCCAAGAAAAATAAACAATTGCCAGGGTGACCAGATAGCCCATAGGATGGGGGAAAAATCTCCACAAACTGCACATCAGACAGGGGATTAATATCTAGGATATATAAAGAACTGAAAAAACAAAAAAATCAATGAAATAATGAATTTAATATACAGTTCTCAAAAGAAGAAATAAAAATGTCCAATAAATTCTTGAAAAGTGATCAACATTCTTAGCTACCAGGTAAATGAAAATTAAAACTGAGATTCTATCTCACAGCAGTCAGAATGGCTATCATTAAGAAAACAAATGACAACAAATGCTGGTGAGGATGTGAGGAAAGACAAACTCATGGGTTGAAGATGTAGCTCAGTTTAAAGTGTTTGCCTAGCATGCACAAAGCCTTGGGTTCAATCCTACCACATAAACTGGGCATAGTGGTGCATGCATGTAAGTCTAGCACTTGAGAGGTCAAGGCAGAAAGATCAGATGTTCAGGGTTAGCCTCAGCTACATAGTTTGAGAACAGTCTGAGATACATGAGACCCTGTTTCAAAAGAGAAAAAAGAGCCACAGCTGTGCACACATGAATGGGCAAAGTATCTCTGTGGCATGCTCACAGTCCTTCAAGAGCTGGGTCACATGGTGGCTCTATTTCCAGTACTTTGAGGAACATTTATACTGATTTTTGTTGTAGCTATACAAGGTGAGGTGGAAGCTGATCTCAAACTCAAGGTCTTCCTGTCGCCTTCCAAAGTAATGGGATTATATGTATGCACCTGGCCTGTTTCTTCCTTCCAGCTGCTCTAATCTGCTAGTCCATATTTCATTTGTCCTGATAAATCTTAACTCTGGCTGATGGCCCCCATTCAATAAGCTAATTTCTGATTGTTGGAGGTTCCATAAAAGACTCTAGGCCTATAGGTGTTGGAGGGGACACAGTTTCCACCTGTGTAAGCTGAAGGTGTGTAAATAGGCGAGAAGACTTCCTACGCTTTGGGCTCCCTCTTCTTATCCTTTCCTCAGCCTACCCATTTGCTCCATGTGAATCTCTCAAAGGCACAGAGACCTGGCATGCTCCACAAGCTAATCATCTTTTTGTACAAGTCTGAGGGTTAACCTTTTCCATGCACGTTACTTCTTTCCTGGCTTTGGCCATATTTTGAGATATTCTTCTGATATTACAGACTTAGATGGGATTCAACATGGGATGGGGAATGGAGCCTTCTGAAGAGTCCTCATGGGAGATGAGAAAACAGGGCCTTAAAGAATGAGAATGTTGGGATTGGAGAGATGGCTCAGCAGTTGAGAACACTGGGTGCTCTTGCAGAAGACCCAAGTTAAGTTCCCAGCACCCACATGGTGGTTAACAACTGTCTGTGATTTCAGTTTTAGGGGATCTGACACCCTTTTCTGGCTCAGTGAGCATTGCAAGACACAGGTACACTTATGTGCAGGCAGGCAAAACACTAACATGCATAAAATAAAACTAAATTAATTTTTTAAAAAAGAGCACTGGCTGCTCTTGCAGAGGACCTGGGTTCTGTTCCCGGCACCCACATGGCAGCTAACAACCATCTGTAACTCCAGGTCCAGGGGATCCAATGCCTTCTTATGGCCTCTGCAGGCATTACACACACTTGTAGTACATGTGCAGGCAAAACATTCTTTTAAAAAAAAGACTGAGCCAGGTGTGGTGGCACACACCTTTATTCCCAGCACTTGGGAGACAGAGGCAGTCAGATCTCTGGGAGTTAAAGGCCGGCCTCGTCTACATAGTGAGTTCCAGGACAGCTGGGGCTACAAGGAGACCCTGTCTCAAAAAGACAAAAACAAAAGAATGAGAATGTTTGGTCAGCAAGATGGTTAAGCAGGTAAAGATGCTTGCCACACAAGCCTGGCAAACTGAGTTTGACCCCAGAACCCATGTAAATGTGGAAGGAGAGAAATGACTCCACAAAGTTGACCTCCACACATGCATCATGTTATGCCCCACACACAAATTTAAAAAATAAATGAATAATGTTCAAAAACAATGAGAACATTTTCTCTACTTGAGAGGGGGAGATTTGTCAACATAAATTTTTTTGTCTTTTTTTTTTTTTTCGGAGCTGAGGACCAAACCCAGGGCCTTGCACTTCCTAGGCAAGCACTCCATCACTGAGCTAAATCCCCAACCCCTTTGTTATTTTGACTTTTTTTTAATCTAAATTTTTAAAAATCAGAAAGAAGTTCTCTGAAGCATAATGTTTATTGAGACCAGTATTGTAATGGGACCACATGTGCTGCAGTAAACTGTGGTCCTTTGTAAAGAGGTTGAGGCAAGGGGCAGTATTTAAAGACAGAAATAAGGACTACATCAGACATTTTGTAATAATAATCCTTGGTTAGAATGATTGATAACAATAATGGCATTAGTCAGGATTTGAACAGGTGGGCCCTAGGTAGATGCCTCTGTAAAAGTGATCTCTCTCTCTGTCTCTTTCTGTCTCTCTGTCTCTCTCTCTCAGATGGATTCTCACTGTGTTGCCCAGTCTGGTCTAGATCTAGTTCATGATTCTCCTACCTCAGCCTTCTGAGTATCTGGGATTAAAGGCAAATGGTACCACACTTAGGCATAGAAGTCCCTTTTATATAAGATTGTGGTGGCCTCTATGCAAGATCTAGCCTGTGACTTCCATGATAGTTATAATCAAGCAGTCATGCATAAGAACCTTCACTTGTTAAGCCAGGCGTAGTGGTACATGCCTTTAATCCCAGCACTCAGGAGGCAGAAGCAGGCAGATCTCTGTGAGTTAAAGGCCAGCCTGGTCTACACAGTGAGTTCTAGGACAGCTGGGGCTACAGGGAGACCCTTTCTCAAAAAGACCCAACCAAAAAAAAAAAAAAAAAAAAAAAGAAAAAAAAAGAACCTTCACTTATAATCTGCCTTTTTTTTCTTTTTGTTGGGTAGGGTTGACAAGCAACTCCATTTTGGTACTGACAACTTTCATATTTCTTTCACAAAAGTGCTATTGAGATTAGATCTTATTCTTTAAGTGCCAAATTTCTTGTGTACCTTGGGGAATGATCCTTGCTCGGAGACACTAGAATCTGACCATCAAGTAGCAAGATATATCCAATACATAAGTTATAAGAATGACCAAAACATCCAGTTTTTCTTACTTAAAAAAAAATTTCTTGGGGTTGAGAAATGGTTCAGTGGTTAAGAACACTGGCTGTTCTTGCAGAAGACCCTGGTTCAAATCCCAGAACTTACAGGGCAGCTAACAACTGTCCGTAGCGCCACTTCCAGGGGATCCAGTGGCCTCTTCTGTCCTCCATAGGCATTGCACAACATGGGTGCACTTACATATATGCAGGCAATACATGCATACACATAAAATTTTTTTAATTAAAAAATTGATTTTATATATGCATGTGTCTGAGTGTATGTGTACCACATGTGTGCAGGTACCTGCAGAGGCCAGAAGAGGGAGGTAGAGACCCTAAAACTGGAGTTACATACAGGTGGATGTGAGCCATCTGATATGGGTGCTGGAAATTGAACCTAGGTCTTCTACTAAAGCAGCAAGTACTCTTAACTACTGAGCCATCTCTCCAGCCTCAACCCCCTCCCTTTTTCTAAAGACAAGGTCTCTTGATTAAAATTTATTATGTGCATGTATGAAATTCTCAAAGAATAAATTTTAAATGTTATATTAAAAATAATGAAATAGCCAGGCATGGTGGCACACACCTTTAATCCCAGCACTTGGGAGGCAGAGGCAGGCGGATTTTTGTGAGTTCGAGGCCAGCCTGGTCTACATAGTGAGTTCCAGGCCAGCTGGGGCTACAGGGAGACCCTGTCTCAAAAAGACAAAAATAATAAAATAACAATAATAATAATAATAATAATAATAATAAATAAAGACAAAATCTGTGTTTGTTGCCCAGACTGGCCTTGAATTAATAATATTCCTGTCTCAACCTCCACAGTCACAGAGATTATAAGCAAGTGACTCTGTACTGGCTGTATCTACTCTCCTAACTTGGTGGTGCCCCAGAGACCCCTCACAGTACATCTGACAATGTCTGGAGACAGTTCTTAATTACTTAACTGGGTATTTTGGGGTGGTAAACATCATACAGTACATGGGATAATCTCCCTCAACCAAGTATTACCTAATACTAAATGTCAACTGTGCCAACATCAAGAATTCCTGATATAGGGGCTGGAAAGATGGCTCAGTGGTTAAGACCACTGTCTGCTCTTGCAGAGGGCCTGAATTTGGTTCCTAGCACCCACATGGCTGCTAACAACTGTCTTTAACTCCAGTTTCATGGGATTCAACACCCTCTTCTAACCTCCATGAGCATTGGATGGCATGGGTGAACTTACATACATGCATACACTAACACATAAAATAAAAATAATGTATAAAATATCTTTAAAAAGAATTCCTGATGCAGTCTATTAATACAGCATTACTTTATTATTCTATTTTCCAGTTCTGCAGATGGAACCTATATCCAGAGCACAGCACATCTCCCTACCACTGAGCTTCACCATCCCATCCCACTCTCCACCTGGTCCCATACAGTTTAAAAATTTTTTATTTTTATTATGTGTATGAATGTTTTGCCTACATAGAAGTGCACCGTGTGTGCAGTGCTCATGGAAGCCAGAAGAGGGTGTCAGATTCCCTGGAACTGGAGTTAAGAATGGTTGTTCCTCATGTGGGTGCTGGTACTCAAACCCGGTCCTCTGCAAGAGCAGCCAGTGCTCCCAATCTCTGTGCTATCTCTCCAGCCCTTTATTTTTTTTGGTGGGGAGGGGACTGTATTTTTGAGACAGGGTCTCCCTGGAGCCCCAGCTGGCCTGGAACTCACTATGTAGGCCAGGCTGGCCTGGAACTCACAGAGATCCACCTGCCTTTGCCTCCTAAGTGCTGGGACTAAAGGCACATGCCACCTCACCCCACTCTCCAACCCTTTTTAAATTTTTTATTTTATGTGTATGAATGTTTTGCCTGCATGTATGTAAATGAACCCTTGTTGTGAAGTGCCCACGGAGGCCAGAAGAGGGATTCGGATTTCCTGGAACTAGAGTTACAAACAGCTGCCATGTTGGTGCTGGGAACCGAACCCAGGTCTTCTACAAGAGCAGCCAGTGCTCTTAACTGCTGAGCCATTTCTCCAGCACCCCCATACAGCTTTTAATCAGCCCCAAACCATCTCATTGGGCTGTTTGTCCCCTAGGACTGTCAGAAAGTGGGAGGCAGCCCTAAGAACCCCAGGACCCTCCCTCTCTCCCTCCCCCTCTTTTCTCAGCAGTATCTGGCCTTCATTGGGTATTAAAGATACCTGTCCACAAGATGCCACAGCTATAGCATTAATGTACCAAGAGCCTGGATTGTTTGGGAAAGAAACCTATCCTGGTCTTACTGAGTTGAGTTTACATTGTTCTAGAGAAGGAGGTTTTCCGGGCTGGAAGAGATGGCTCAGCGGTTAACAACACTGGTTTTTTTTTTGCAGAAGACACGGGTTTGCCTCTTCTGATCTCCGCGTGCATTGCAGGACACGGGTGCACTTACCTACATGCAGGCAATACACGCATACACATAAAATTTAAAAAATAAAGTATTTTTAAAAAGTTTTTTTTTTTTAAAAAAAAAAAGAGACGTTTTCTCTCCTTGAAATGAGAGCTGGAATGGCTCCCTCCCTCCCCCCAATCTGAAGAAAAGAAAAATCTGATCTGCCAATCTATATAGCTTTGCATAAAGTGAAAAGCACGAAGTGCTGGGCTGGTCTCTTTAGTCCCGCCCCTTGGCGGGTCCAGAGTTCGGGCATCCATTCTGCAGGTTCCAGGACTCAGGGGTGCGGCCTCCAGCCACCACAGGAGCCAAGGCCGCACAGCACCAGCTGAACCTGCTTAATAAGTAACTGCCAAGGTCTGTAGGGGCCCGACGACCGGGACTGGGGTTTCCAATCCGGAAACAGTAATTTGCTACGGTCATTCAAGGTTTTCCGGGATCTGCTGCATCTAGTGCTGGACTGGAGTCTCTCGGGTAGGGGACCAATCTAGAGACTGCAGGATCCTGCCTGCAGGGGAGTTGCACCAGCTTGTTCTGCCCTCCTCTGACCAGAGACTGGGGCTTCTGCCTGCCCACCCTGTGTTCTTAGCATGCTGGCCGTCCACTTTGATCAGCCCGGCGGAGCAGAAAACCTCTACCTGAAGGAGGTGGCCAAACCATGCCCGAAAGAGGGGGAAGTCCTCCTCAAAGTGGCGGCCAGCGCCCTGAACAGGGCGGACTTACTCCAGGTACCCAGGGGTCCCAGTGACTGGTGCAGGGTGGGACTCCAGGGCTCAACCTCAGTCTTCAATGAACTGACCAGACTGAGAAAACTGGACTTGTGAGGATGGGGATTTTGAGATCCAAAGCCAAATAGCCCCTGTGTTTAAATAAGGGTCTGTGCTGAGGATGGAGCTCACTGATAGAGCCTTTACCGGGTGGGAGGGAGGGAAGGAGAGAGAGAGAGAGAGAGAGCCGTTACCGGGGGGGAGGGAGAGAGGGAGAGAGAGAGAGAGAGAGAGACAGAGAGAGAGAGAGAGAGAGAGAGAGAGAGAGAGAGACAGAGACAGACAGAGAGAGACAGAGAGAGACAGAGACAGAGACAGAGAGACAGAGAGAGAGACAGAGAGAAACAGGAGAGGAGAGAATGGTGTGCAGGGGGATTTGGGCTTTACCCCTAATTCACTCCTTGGACAACCCCATTTAATATTCTACAGTTAAAGAAACTGAAGACCTAGGATAAAGTTAGGTAAGGTCCCTTCATATTCCTATCCTCTGTTTAGTAAATGACCAGCTGAACTGATGTACCAGTGGAATCCAAACTGAAAAGAAGTACTTATTAATTAAAATCAGTTAGGACTCTCTCCAGGCCTTGAATTTGACCCATCTTCAGCCCATGATCCTTATTTAACAGTCCCTTTTGAAAATAGGCTGGCTTTCAGTTAAGATAGGAGCATATCCTAAGGGTGCACCAATGTGGACTGATTGTTGTTATATATAGTCCACTCTAACCCTTCACCTATACTCTTGTAAGTAACCCCAATAAACTCATTAGTTTAGGAAAAAAGTTGCAGTCCAACCATGAAATAGAATGTGCCTAGGCAACTTTTATTTTGTATTTATTTATTGTTTTAAATTTTTTATTTTTTAAATTTTGAAATAGGGTCACCAAATGTAGCCCAGGATGACCTCAAACATAAGAATTTCCCACTTCAGTCTCCAGAGTGCTGAGATTACTCCTGGCTGCAGTTTTAGGAATGAGTGATCCCAGCACTTTAGAGGCTGAGGCAGGAGGGTTGCCCAGAGTTTGACCTTGTAGAAGCAAAACAAAACAAAACCAAGAACAATAAAAACAGAATGAAGTAGGGCTAGGGGTATAATTCAGTGGTAGAACACTTGCCTAGCATGCTCAAGCTCCTGGATTGGATCCCCGGTACTACAAAAGCAAACAGTAAATAAATAAAAGCAGATTTGTAGATGGAAGGAAAGCTGAATGTGTAGCCCAGTTGGTAGTGCACTTGCCTAACATACACGAGGGTCTGGCTTTGATCTCCAGCACTGCATAAACCTGGCATGGTATCTTACAGCTAAGTAGATTGGGGTCAGTTAGAAGTGCATCAGGAGCTAGGATGATAACTCAGTTCAAAAAGTGCTTGTGGAGCAAGCATGAAGACCTGAGTTTGGATCCCTGACACTCACATGAAAAGCCTGGTGTGCCTGTAATCCCAATGCTGGGGTGGCAGAGACAGGAAGATCCCTGAAGCTTGCTGAACAGCCAGTCTAGCTGAATAGGTAAGCTCCAGTTTCAGTGAGAGATTCTGCCTCAAAATATGAAGTGGAGGGCAGGGCATGATGGACACCTTTAGTCCCAGCACTTGGGAGGCAGAGAGGCAGATCTCTGTGAGATTGAGGCCAGCCTGGTCGCCATAGAAAGTTCCAGGCCAGTTGGAGCTACAGGAAGACCCTTCTCAAAAAACATAAAACAAAACCAAAACAACATATATAGTGGAGAGCAATTGAGAAGGACACTTAATGTCAACCTCTGACCTCCAGATGCATGCATACACGTGTGTGAGTGCACATACACATATATGTGCACATACACAGAGAAATGTGCATCAGAATCAGCTAGGGAACTTTTTCAAATAAGCATATCAGGGCCCAGACAATTGTAGTTTGAAAAAGTTCCTTGGTGGTTCTGATGCAAAACTCCAGGTAGGAGGTCCTTATGATTTAAAGTTTTTGAGGCCAGGGGCAAGTATAGAGCCTGCTCCTCAATAAATGTCAGTAATCAAACTGGAGAGATGGCTCAGTGGTCAAGAATACTTGCAGTTCTTCCAGAGAATCCAGGTTTGAATTTCAGTACCTACATGGTGGCTAACAACTGTTTGAAACTCCAGTTCTAGGAGTTCTAACACCCTCCTCTGGCCTCTGCAGACACTGCACACATGTGGTACACTTACATATATGCAGGCAAAACACATGTACACATAAAATAATAAAAGTAATAAAATATTTTTTTAAATGTCAGCAATTACTGAGAAGTCCAGTTTCATTCATGATCCCTCTGCTAATTTATTAGTCTTGGATAAGGCATTTCTCTGCCCTGGCCGGTTTCTTTATTTATAAAACAAAGGGTTTACATGAAATAACTGAGGACCCAACCAGTTATGGTACAAATTGATTATGTGACCTATAGTCTTTTATTTACATAAGCCAAGCGCTACCCTCCTCCACATTTTACTTGCTTACAAAACCAGACTTCATTCTGAATTTTTTGTTTGTTTGAGAAAATGAAGATCTACTGGAGAGGGGCCAGGGATGGTGACATAGATTTCTAATCATATCCCTACTTGATGTGCCTCTTTCTTTGCAGAGACAAGGCCAGTATGACCCACCCCCAGGAACCAGCAGCATTTTGGGACTTGAGGCATCTGGACATGTGGTTGAGTTGGGGCCTGGCTGCCAGGGACACTGGAAGATTGGGGATTCAGCCATGGCCCTGCTGCCTGGTGGAGGCCAAGCTCAGTATGTCACTGTTCCTGAAGAGCTCCTCATGCCCATCCCAGAGGGACTGACCCTACCTCAGGCTGCAGCCATCCCAGAGGCCTGGCTTACTGCCTTCCAATTGTTACATCTCTTAGGTAGGAAGCCCCTGCTCACTCTATACAATGTAGCTCAGCTCCCCAATGAACCAGCCTCTCCAAACTCCAGCAATCTTCCAGGAAAGCCAGCCCCACTACCCAATCCTGCTGTATCACAAATGCCAGGCAAACAAACCACATTATAATGGTTTCATATAGAGGCTGAGAATGCTGGTTAGCTGATAGAAGGCCTGTGCACATCTTAACACAAGACCCAGGAGCAGTTTCTGCTTCTCAAATAATGCTGACTTCTCTTTGGGGCCAATGCAATAGAAGGGTAAGGGTGGGATGTATCTCAGTGGTAGAACATTTGTTTAGCATGCTAAAGGACCTGGGTTTGATCTCCAGCACTGAAAAAGAAATGAAGGAAGGAAGAGGGGGGAGAGAAAGAGGAAAAGCAGGAAAGAAAATATATAGCTATAGAGTTTGGAAAGGTAGTTTTACCTCTAACTGCAACTGAAGTCTGAGATGGGAAAAGCTAGTGTGAGCAAGGGTGGCCAGGGAAGGCTTTTAGGAACAGAAGAACATGAGTTGTGATGGACAGAAGGTACATCAAGGTGGCCCAAGAAAGAGCATCAAGGAGATGGCAGCCCATCCACTCAGAGATGGAAGACTGCTATTGCCATTTATGAATGATAAGGCTGTTCAGATTGTGATGGTTTTGAATGCCAGACTGCCTGGACTCAATGCAAAGCCAATAGAGAACCACTTAGCATTTTGAGAAAGATCATAAAGAAAGTTCCATTTTTCGAAGAGGAGCCTGGTGTCTGTGTATGATGCCTAGACCAGTAAGACCAGCTGAAGCCAGATTCAGATAAAGGATTGGCTTTAGGTGATAATAAAGGGAATGGGGGTTATTCTTGCTTATTCAAGTGTGTAGGTCAAAGACATGCGTTTGAGTATTTTATCATACATTCAAACAGAGATCATGGATGTGGCTACCAATAGTTTTGTTACTAAAGTTCATTTCCCACTTGTTCAAAGGCAGCAGTACAGTAAGACAAAAAAATAACTGTCAATATGCTCCATTCAGAAAGCAAGAGATTTGGTACTTGGTCCAAGGGTAGGCTATGCCTGTGTGGGTATGTGTATTCCTACAGTCCGATGGCAGAGTGAAAACTTCTTATACTTTTTGTCACAGGCCATGTTCAGGCAGGAGAATTTGTGCTAATCCACGCAGGATCAAGTGGTGTGGGTACAGCTGCCATCCAACTGACTCAGATAGCTGGCGCTATTCCTCTGGTCACGGCTGGCTCCGAGCATAAGCTTCAGATGGCAGAAAAGCTTGGAGCAGCTGCTGGATTCAATTACAAAGAAGAAGACTTTTCTGAAGCAACTCTGAGATTCACTAAAGGTAAAGAACTGTTTGTGCTACTTAGCAGGTATTGAAAAGATGATAAAATCCTCCCCAGTCCATGGTGGCTAGTACTCTGGATATATCTCAACTCTGCTGAGCCCAGTACAGCTGCCCTGGCCAAATTCGTGCATGCTGGTGTTTGACCAGGGGAGACTGGCAGTCAGCATTTAGGTCTGAGATGATTTCCATGTGCCTCCACCCAATGGTTCCATGCAGGGCCTTGTGCATCCAGGGGTAGCACTCTACCACTGACAGCTACATCCCTAATCTTGCAAGTGACATGACTCATACATGCTTTAGAAACTGCATAATAATACAGAGTTGACTTGGAATTATTCAGGACCTCTTCTTCCCAACCAGCCACTCTGTAGTGAGTTAACAGGACGCGTGGAACACAGACCACACCGGAGTCCAGCATAGTAGGGTTGGAGATAGGATAAGCAGATGTATCTCTGCTTTCCAATTCCAAATCTGGATATTTTTGAGACAGGGTTTCATGTATCCGAGGCCAGTCTATATTTACTATATAGCCAAGAGTGACCTTGAACTTCCAATTTTCCTATCTCCATCTCCTGAATGCTAGGATTACAAGTGTGTGCCATGTCCCCCAGTTTATATGGTTCTGGGGATAAAGCCCAGGGCTTCATGCATTCTAGGCAAATACTTTACCAATTGAGCTACATCTTTAGCTAAATATCTGGTTATTTTCTATTCTTTTTTGCTTTTCATATGCATAGAAAAGGAGAGATAAAAACAAAATTAGCAAACTGTGATTCTGATAACCCAGTGCAATAATTTGTAACTTAGATGTAAACAGATCAGTCTGCTCTGTAGTCTGGGATGGACTTCCTCTTTACTATTCCTACCCATACCTGGATACCAGTGGGACTGTATTCTTGAGATGAGATGAGATGTCAGGTCTTGATGTTGCCCCATTTCTCTTTCTGTGATGAGGCAGGGTCAAGAAATCATAAAAGATGAACTACATAACACATGCTATGATAGAGTTCTGTTACTCAAACTCCACTTAAAATGATATTTCTATAGTCAATGTTTCTAGTTCCAACATACACATTTAACATTTGTATTTTGTTTATTTATATTTTATGTATGAGTGTTTTGCCTGCATGCATTTAAGTGCACAAGTGTTGTACAATGCCCACAGAGGACAGAACAGGGCATCAGAGCCCCTGGAACTGGAGTTAAGGAGTGTTGTTAGTCACTATGTGGGTGCTGGAAACCAAACCTGGTCCTTTGCAAGAGCAGCCAGTGCTTTTAACTGCTGAGCCATCTCTTCAGTCCTGATTTGTAATTTTTGAGGTAAGGTCTCACTATGTAGCCCAGACTGGCCTTGAATATGAGATTCTGTTGCCTCTTCTCCCAAGCACTGGGATTACAGGTTCCACATTTGATTCCCTCTATTTATTTTTACCCCAATATCCACAAATATACCACGAAACCTATTTTGTACCTAACGTTCTGTCTAATATTACCAATCTATTTCCTATGTAAGGTGCTGGAGTTGATCTTATTCTAGACTGCATAGGCGGATCCTATTGGGAGAAGAACGTCAACTGCCTAGCTCTTGATGGCCGCTGGATTCTCTATGGTCTGATAGGTGGAGGTGATGTCAGTGGGCCCCTCCTTTCAAAGCTACTTTTTAAGCGAGGAAATCTGATCGCTAGTTTGCTGAGATCTAGGAACAAAAAGGTGAGTGAAAAGAAATACCATACAAACACAGAAAACTGTGCTTTTGCACTATCCCCAGGCATAGCTTACCTTAGGGCACCTATCAAGAAACCTGCCACCTGGTGGATAAGTACATTAACTTTTCAGACAACTAATTCAGATTAGTCAACAGAAGCCTTGGACACATCCCATACTTCATATATATAATTTTCTATCAGAAAATTTCAAGGTAGGACTCAAGTGTTCTAAGAAAGCCTATTAGGTAAGTAAGCCTCTATCTTCAACAGGTTTTATGTCCCTAAAATCTTCCCCTGTAGTGTTCTAGCAGATGCCAGTTTGGGGAATGTATTCATTCCATCACAGTTTCACACCGAATGGGGAAGAGGAAAGCTTAAGAGTCCCTTTTGCACTGACAATATGTAAGTCTGTCACACCAGTATTGTATGTACTTCAGTCTTTACCTGGTACAGAACAGAGTTGTACATTTGACAGCAAGCACCTACATGGTGGGAAGTGAAAGGAGTGTGCTGTTTCAGATGGTCAGAGAGCATTAGGGTTAAGCAGGATGGGGAGTGGAGGGATAAGACCACTCTTCAGGTTGCTGTTCTTCTTTTCCTTAGTACAAGCAAACTCTGGTGAAAACTTTCACGGAGCAAATTCTTCCTCACTTCTCCAAGAACAGCCCCCAACGTCTGCTGCCGGTTCTGGACAGAGTCTACCCAGTGACTGATATCCAAGCGGCCCATAAATACATGGAGGCTAACAGGAACGTGGGCAAAATAGTCTTGGAGCTGCCCCAGTGAAGGAGGAGGAGACAAGCACAGGACACGGCCATCCCAAAGCAATCTTGGGGCAGATTCTACTTCCAGATCCGGCGTGTAAAGCTGGTCTAAGGAAATAAAAGAGAGGATGTGAAGGGCGGAGTGCTCACTATGGGGACGCAGGAGCGAGGGGAGGGGTGCGGGGAGCAGAGGTGGAAGTCAGGATCGTCAGCTGATACACAACCAGAGGCCCAGGCCCAGGCCTAGAGTCACAGGCAGGGGGGGCCCCGCAGGGCTCCGCTTCTCCAGCACCCGCC